TATAAAATATGAATAATTACATTTTTACATTTTCATAAACACAAACTTCTATAACTTTTTTTTCTGTTTCACTTTCTTAATTTATTTAACTTCTACAAAAATCTGCCAAATGTCTTCTTTAAAACAAGACCAATTTTACATCTATGTCCCAAAGCATTCTTGAATTACAACCATTTAAGTTCGGATTGTGCATTTTCATGTCTATTCAAAAGAGGGGGCGCGACACTTAAGAGGTTAATAAGGCAGCATTGCATACAGTATTTACAGTAAAGAATGCAATCATTTCAATTTTGGGGTGAACTGTGAACTGAAAGAAATTACTCAAATAATTGCACTAGTCAAATTAGTCAAAAAGTGTAGTATTGAAGTTCTAAGTCCTCAAAATAGCGACATGACTTGATTAAACTATTCAAGTATTCACCCTAACACTATAACTGTAGAGAGGACTGACAACAATGCATTCTCATGAGAAAAAAAAAAAAATTTAAAGCCACGTAAACCCGACACACATGATGTTTAAGGAACTAAACCAAGTGGATGTTGGAGGCTGTGAAATATAGCAGTGCAGGGTGCAGATTGGACGAAGAATTTGTCCACAGATAGTGTTGCTGTATTTGTGTTTGAAGGAGATTGGAAATTAATCACTGACGTAGGAAACCTGTAACATCTTGTGGGTCACATATATGATATTCGTTATATTGAACACTCATTAATATGCACCAATGGAATTTAGCATTTAGCCCAAATGCTTTTTTCTTTAATATTTCGTTTTAGAAGAAAATATGGTCCGCTGGTGTGTTTTTCTGCCAGTAAAGGCTCTGTGGTTGAGAGAGAGTGTGTGAGAAAGCAGAAGGCGGGAAGTGCGGGTACAGCTCTGTGGAAAGGGGCGGAGCTTATCAGCCTGGCAAGGCGATAAACAGGCCAAAGTTTTTTTTTAATCTCTCGCTTTTCTCTCTCTCGATGTGGCCTAAACTTGATAATTGCTTTTATTGTACAAACAGGGGTTTTTTTTACAACGAAAAGATAGTCAGCCTGTTTTAAATTAATGTGAATTAACTATGAACTTTTTGAACAGTTGAACAGTTTTCCTGTGTCAGACAAAAAAGTAAAAGACTTACATTGATTGAATGTGGAAAGCGAATGATTTGCGATTCCTATTATTTACAAAAAAAAATCCATTTGCATCAGCAGTGGCAAGAAAAAAAGTTGAATCGAAACCACCATCAGCTATGGCACCTGTGGGAAAAAAGGATCCAACACTTACTTGAGCTTTACGTTATTTTAGAAGTGTGAGAAACCAGGGATTGACACAAATGTTATCTTTCATTAACATATATGAGCATCCACTTCCCCATAGAAAGGGGCTAAAACAGGACTAGTCAAAAACAGACAAAGATTAGTTTAGAAAAAGTGCTATAATAATGATGTAGCAAACAGGAGTAAAATCAATCCAAGAGTCGAGGTGTCCATGAGCGAGACACTGGGTGAATGTAAGGCGATATGTAAAATGCTTTGGTGGCCATTGGGTCCGCGAAAGGGTCTAAAATTGGGTCTGTTTAAATATAGACCAATACTGAGATCTGACATTAATCAATTACTGATTCTATTAATGATTATAAGGAAATATTTTTGGTTTTGTACCATTAGATTCAGTAACGTCATTTGCAGTGCTGATTCTCCCATAAAAGTACTTTTAACTACTTTTCCTGATTCTCATATGCTCTTGTGCTTCAAATATACTGTAATCAAATGTAAAGTGGTTTGATTATGTCATGTGATCTAATGTGAGTTCTTGATTCCTCTTGGAGCATGTTGGTTTGGTCCATGGCTTTAATATGGAGAAAAATTAATGGGAAAAAAACCTTCAAAACAAAGGCTGCCAAAAATTTTAGGAGGTCGGTTTTGTGCTCTCTCTCTCAATACATACAGTCACCTCAAGGATTATTAGGAACACCATACTAATACTGTGTTTGTCCCCCTTTCGCCTTCAGAATTGCCTTAATTCTACGTGGCATTGATTCAACAAGGTGCTGAAAGCATTCTTTAGAAATGTTGGCCCATATTGATAGGATAGCATCTTGCAGTTGATGGATATTTGTGGGATGCACATCCAGGGCACGAAGCTCCCGTTCCACCACATCCCAAAGATGCTCTATTGGGTTGAGATCTGGTGACTGTGGGGGCCATTTTAGTACAGTGAACTCATTGTCATGTTCAAAAAACCAATTTGGTTTCTTATAAAATTATATATATGAAGAGTTCAGATGCGAAAGCCTCTAAGTGCCATTTGAAATTCTCTTCTAGAATAATCATTTTTATCAAGCTTGTATATTTAAATTGAGTAATTTCACTTAAATGGCAATTAATAGGTAATCTTCATTGCCATTTAAGTGAAATTACTGAACTTAAATATACAAGCTTGATAAAAATTAACATTCTTGAAGAAAATTTCAAATAGCATTTAGAGGCTTTTGCATCTGAACTCTTCATATATATATATATATATATATATATATATATATTTCTCATTTAATTATTATTTTCAAACACATTTCCAATAATTGGAAAATCAGACTGTCCTGCCCCAAACTCAAATGATTTAAATATCAAAAGAGTCAATATTGCTCTTAACAAATGAAATGTCACAGGATGAATCACAAAGCCTGTGACTCTGGGATTAATGAAATCGAACTGGCCGACTGTAGTTTGTTACTCATATTCCTTTCTCATCCTTCCATCCAAGAGCCTAGATCCCCCTTCAGCGGGACAGATTTAGACTCTGGGCGTTTGCTTTTGGTCCGAAAATGCGTTTGAAGTGAAGATGGCCACCTCATCACTGTATTTTTCCTTCTGTCCTTTGCTGTGTTCCCCCTTTATGAGTTGCACATGGGGCAGCCTGCAATTTATTCACCACAAAATAAGCCCCTGCACATCTGCGCTCGCGACCGCACGCTCTAGCCACCGCCCCGCTCTGCCCCACCCGTGGGGTGGAGGGACATTGGCAACGTTTGGCCCACCGCAGGTCTCTCAGCAAAACACTACAGTTATATTAAACTTAAATACAGGGGCTTGATAAACAAGAGAGAGAGGAAGAAAAAAAAAAAACAACATCTCTGTCCGATTGCTGCCGCACCGCTTCGACCATTTTTGCTTGTGGTTAGTGAACGACGCTGCTAAGAAACCCTTTTCCCAAAACACAGAGCAGATGGTGTTTGTGTCTGAGGAAAGAAGCTGGATGGCCCCATCCTCAACGTCCGATACGCACTCTTCGGGAATACACACACTTGTGGTGTACTTCCTAAATTTATAGAATTATAATACGCATAAAAATTATAATATATATGTTGGACTTGACATCCAAATTTAATGTCTTAATACGTTTCATCTGTGCACATTATTCCATTTTTAAAATAAAAAAAAGTCATTTAAGCCAATCGTAATGAAGTCTTTCTAATTTACCCTATACCAAGTAATTAACAGGACCAACTTACTAGTTAGTTTAACATTACAGCAACAGTAGGAAATAATGATATATTGTATGCATCAAGATGCTCTTGAGGGTAAATTTGACTTACAGCCTGCATTTAAAAAAAAAAAAAAAAAATTAAAAAAAAAAAATTCCACACCATTCTGGCCCTGAATACCCATCATTGGATCCGATCAATTCCTAATGACTAAAATAAAGTCCGGCAACAGTATTGTTCCCATATTCTGTTTTACTCATGTGAAAATTATGTTTAACCAGAAGATCCCACACAGGTGCACACACAAAAACACACACTGACTGAGCTGGGTCATTCTCATAGGGGAAACTTTGAGATTGATTTGCATGTGTGAGGTTGGGATCAGGTTGATAAAAAGCCCTGAAGTCATTCTGTGGCTTCACCATAGGCCACACTCCCTGGAAGTGTGTTATTTGCCACACACACACACACATACACTTCCACTGTGTCATTTTCCCTGTGTTGCCAGCTGGCTGACCAGCACACAAGTGCTCATTTTCATGGCACTGTGGTTCCAACATCAGGTCAATGACACACACACACACACATCAACCTATCTATCTATCTGTCTGTCTGTCGTTGCTCCTGAGGTTCGTTCTAGGGAGAAATTTCACACGCACACATATGCATACCTACATGCACCGTTAGATGGTGTAGATAAACAGATACACACTTTAACAGGGCCACTGAAATCAGGCCATACATGAAAGGTGTGTTAAACACCGCAAATATTTCGGAAATAAAAAGTAGGCCGCCCACAGCCATATTAAACTGTCAGAGCAGAGAGTATGGAGTAGAAATGAGGGTAAAAAGAGAGCGGGAGGACGAATGAAATGACTGGCATGGCTGTTTTTAATGAGGCTAACATTGATAAACTATCAAGTGGTGAATGAGGGTGGAAGGGTGGTTTAACAGGCCCCAAAACCACCAAAACACACTTCAACACTCTCTTTCCCCCAATGAATTCTCATCTGTCCCGCATTTTCGGCAATTTCTTTCACTGGAGAGTTCGTGTTGGGTATGAGCTGTGTATTTTTGCGGTCCCTCTTACAGAAGGCCACATCATCCTCTGAGAAACCATTCAAAAAACAACTATCAGCCAATCATGGCTGAGAAACACACATTGGAAAGAAAAGAGAACTTCACTGCATGCAAGTGAGAGAGAGGGAGTCACGTGACCCGAGGTCCACCAATCAGATCACGGGATTGCCGTGCAGCAGCATTACCGCGGGAGCCGTGACCTCGGATACCTCAGACATGCGACTGACAGGCCGTTACCACGGAGATCACCATTGCAAGAGCGTCAGACACCTGAACTTTCAACTATCTGCCTAGACCACGTAGACACTACAACAACAACTTCTAGAGAGAGACAGACGTACAAAAGTGTCCATTGTCAAAGGTGAGTCCATCTCTCAGTTGCTATCCTCACTTAGTTTCTCTCTCTCTTACTCTCTCTCTCTCTCACTCTCTATCGCTCGCTCTCACCACACGGCACATATGCTGTTCTGTTAGTCGGCTTGTGGCGAAAGATTCCTGTGGCACTCTCAAACCCCAAATTCTTGGTTGCAGGCAGTCTATGTAGTTTCTCTATTTCTTTTTCTCTGACTGTCATTCTCTCAAGCTGAAAGTCGGTAAGGCGGCGGAGAGGCCAGTTCTTTTCCCTCCTGTGCGGGACACATGGCTTCAAACAGCATCTTCGACACATTCTCCAGCTACTCTCCCGGTTTACTGCGAGGTAAGTCGCCCGTCGTAGCATTCCCCTCCCTCCTTGTCCAGAAAGCTAGTTTTGGTGGTTGTAACGTTCATACGAGAATGTCTGGTGTGTCTGCATGTGTGTCTGTGGCAGTTTAGCAGTTATGAACGTTTGCTTGCATGTGGGTTTGACGTGTTGTATATGGACTACAAACTTCCTATAATAACACTTTTTAAAGTGCAGTTTCCAGAAAAGGGCAGTTTATGCTTGTTTTTGTTTTGTAACAAACGGACTGATTTAAATGTCTCTGTTGATGTAATAAAGCATCATATAGCCTAGATGTTGTGTGAGTCAAGCCTGTGTGGCCTTCTGAGATACCGTGTTAAGGTATAAATGAAACCTAGATCAGGGTATTCAATGCACAAATCTGTCTGTCAAAACTTGGAGCCTAAGTTACCTGCGCATTTATCCTTCTTAAGATGTTTGTTTTTTAATGCTGCAGTCTGTTTGGAGCAGTTCTGATGGGTTTGGATCATAATGGCCTGCTCACCGCAAGCATTAGCACTATAAACGCACTCTTAGCGCAGGGCGCAAGGGAGGAACCAGCTAGACCAACCTTTACTGGAACTCACAAACCAGTCAACTTCTGGAGCCAGGGCACTCTCGGCCTTTCTGTGGTCGCTGTGTATATGTGTGGGTACGAGCCCAAGTCAACATTAGTGATTTACTGGCATCTGCATCTCCTGAGCGCCTCAGAAGAGGCCATTTGTCACCATGGTAACGTCAACACGTGATGAGGTGCTTCCTGTCCTAGAATTGAGGTTCTGTTTTAAAAAACAATGGCGAATCATTATCCTCATGCAATTCTCATTTAGGGTGGGAGGGTGAAGTTTAAAGTTTACGTGACGTCACAGCTGATCCTTGTGCTGAAAACCCTTTTGCGTTCCCGGTCAAAAATAACCGGCCTTTTAAAAATTGCTTGTAAATCGCTTGTAATGCTATATTATCACCAAATATTGCATTCAATCTCTTTGTCAACTTGTTTTCTTTCAGTCTTTTCATTGATCATAGGCCTCATTGATCTGAGGATAAAGTTCTTCTCTGAAAAAGAAAGCCTGTAATACTATGTGTGTGTGTGTGTGTATCCACACATGCATAGGTCCAAGGCCTTTATCTTTGCAAGCACACATGTAAATATGTGAATATGAACATGATGAACATGCTCCTGAACACTATATGCTTCTCTTATTTTTTCGATATTCCCCATTCATTTTCAATGGATGGTCATTTTTGACCATTATAAGCTCAGATCAATGAGGCCTACAATCAGTCAGTTTCCAAAATAAATACAAATCCTGTCCTAATTTATATAAAACAAGCTGACATAAGCTATTTTTTTGTAGGCTGGTCATTTCTGACTGGGAATACCACAAGTGTGACTTTGTGCCATTGTGTACAAGATAAAAGCAAACAAACCTCCTGGATGAACATTAAAGCACACTAGTGTGATAAATTGTACAGAAAAAAAAATGTATTCAATGTTGTCAAAATTACCCACAAATAATGCTTAAATAAAACCCGAACACAACATGTGAATATACCTGGTCTAATTGTGCATTATGCATTACTGCACATTACTCCAAATAAAAAATGGCTGTCTTCATAATGATTTTCTTAGTCAGCTGACATCACATATCCCTTCAACCACCTGTCATTCTCCCAGTTTTCACAATCCACTCAGTTCCCAATGGATACATTCAAATCCCTTCCTACATTTTTCAAAGTTTTACTTAGAAATATGTAATATTAAGGAAGTATATCCTTCGGATGTGACGTTAAATCGAGGTCTTGACTCTCCGTGGTCATCCCAGGATGTCATTCAAAAAAAAGAGTAGGGGTGTAACCCCAGGCATCCTAGCCAAATTTGGCCTTATCACTGTCTCCTCTCCACCAGTAAGCTGGTTTGTGAGGGTGTTCAGCCGCAATATGGCTGCCGTCGCATCATCCAGGTGATGCTGCATATTAGTGGTGATTGAGGAGATTCCCCCCTTCCATATGTGAAGTGCTTTGAGGTCGCCATATAAATGTAACAAATTATTATTATATGAAGTTATATTAAAAAAAAGTAGAGCCATAATCGACTCCTCGCTATGTTTTGCCTATTTCTTTTTTTCCTTATTGCTTTTATAAAATGCGTGTAATTGCCTGATATAAGATGCCAATGTTTAATAAAATTTGCAGTTTAAAAAAATGTAAATTTTTGCATGTGGCAGACGCGTTTATTGATAGTGACTTACATTGCATTCAAGGTATACATTAGTTCATGCTTTATAATAATCATGATAATTATTGTAGCAAGTAATATTCATTAGAGTAGGCTGTTTACTGTTCTCAAGCAATGTATGTTGCGCATTAATGCAACTGCTTGAAGAGCATCTCATCCAATCGGAATAAGAGTCAAAACTGTTTTAGAAAACAAGTTGTGTAACTTTAAGATCAAAGAGCCAATCACCCCTCGCCAAAATTACTAGTGATGCTTTTAGTCTGGTTAAGTGACGACTCCCAGGCCTGCAGAGACAATATATATATATATATATATACCGCCTGCCCCTGTGTTGTTTTTCTTCTTCTTTGCAGTCCGTTTCACATAGATGACAAAGATCCACCAATATCCCACTCATCTGCTCACATGAAAGCGTATGGTTAAGTAATTGATCCTCACATGTATGGTTGAGTCAATGTTTACATGCATCAGCAGAGCTCTGAGCTGGTTATTATTACTGTAGAGTCTGGGATGGATCTGTGTGTGTTAAATAAAGTAGCTCAGAATTGGATAGGGAGAACCGTGATGTCATCCACTATGAAGTAAACAGTAGCTAAATGCTAGCAGGGGGTTTGGTTTGCTATGTTCCTATAAACTCCCAGCATGCTGTTCCACTCTCATTGTAGTGTTGACTCACTTTCTACCTGACCAGTAGGCTACCTTTAGTCATTGAACTATCTTGATTGATCACTAATCAGAACATTTGGGGGAAATGTATCCCAACGGCTGTGGTGGTTGCGTCACAGCCAAAAATGAGAAAGAAAAATAAACACAGAGATGGAAAACAGAAGTGTTAAAACGTGTGTTTGCTTTAGGAACAGTTGCCAAAATAAGAGTCTGGGATGAGAGAGGTACCAGCTCCAAACTGTTTGCAGGATATTTTTAAGCTGTTGTTTTCTGAACTAATATATTATAATACCATTTGCAACCCAAAATTATTTCTGTAATTAATTTATTTTCAATGAAAAAAATGTAGGGTGGGGCTTGAGTGTATTTCCAGGATTGATCCGAAGTGAGCGTTGGATATCAGAATGGAGTCAGGTGATTGAGCAGGAGAGATTTCCAAGATGGATTTCCACTATAATCAACAATTATATAAGAAGCATGACAAATGTAAACATATAAAAGAAAAAACTTTATATCTTTCGCCGCCAGGGCACCGCTATTGTGCAGTATTCTAACATGTGGCGTCACGTGGTTGGTTGGCTTTAGTTAAACAGGCTCTGGGCACAGAGTATCCCGACATCAAACTGTTTACACCACAGTGTTTTGACCGCGAACAACTACACTCTTAGAAGAAATGTTTCTATTTAGAACCAGAAATGGTTCCATCCCCCGCTTCATATGGAACTCCAAAATGGTTCTATACAGAACCATTTTTTTTGGGTAAAAGGTTCTATTGGCCAAGTATGGAACCCCAGGGTTCTATATAGAACCCAGAGGAACCCTTTTTTAAGAGTGTATAGAACCTTTTAGGGGTTCCAAATACGTAGCACTGATAGAACCTTTTAAGGTTCTATATAGAACCTTTTCTTCTAAGAGTGTAATGTTAGGTACAGTCATTATTAGCTAACAGCTGTAAGCATGAACAAGCTAGTGCTAACTTAGTGTTTAGCTAACTTAGTGAAGTTTATTAGTACCAGACAAAAAGACGACGTCTAATGTTATGTAAGGAATAATTGACGACAGGCCGTTGAATTACACAATTATTCAGTTAATAAAGCTGGTTTTTCTTACCCAATTGAAAAGTTTGATCTTGATTTATGCATAAATCTAACAAACTTTGCTGAGGTTTTAGAATAAAACTATTTTTCTATAGGGAAAAAAAATAAACATTTGCCTATAAACTTAATTTAAATACATTTTGTTTATGCTTAGATATTTCACTGGAAAACACAAGACAAAAATACTTAAGAAAAGATTTTTCGCAGTGCAAATGTGTAGTTGATGCACAATACAGAAAGAGTCTTGTAAACGGTTCACATGCAAGCGAAAGAGTGAGTGTGAGAAAGAAAACTGAAGGAACAAGTCGAGAGGGTTTGTGTCTGTGTGTTGCGTGTTAATCTGATGCAGACTCTGTTTGCTTCTGCTGCTCACCAGCAACCACAATGAGGTCACACCTGTTGCACTGAAACAGCAGTCTAAAATACACACACACTCACACTGAATATATATATATATATAGATATTATATAAACGTATATAATATATATATCTTAAATATAAGTGTATCTACACAATCCTGCATACTTGCATTTATAGACGCAAACACAAACACAACCACATTCACTGTACGGGTCAGCTCACAAAAATACTGCAATGCACAATCTTAAACATGCAATGTAAAAATTATTCCTTTACATAGTTCTGGGAACACCACTAATGCATCTCATTGCATTTTTATCTATATCCCCTTATAAAGATGTTTCTTTATAAAGAAGCACAGCAGGTGAGCTGGACTCACAAGTATCTGCACTGGACTCTTCATCCTTTACTGAAAATTATTTTAGTGTTAAAAAGATACAGAAACTTACCGAAATTCGTATTATGTTTAATGTAATCACTAAATCAGGCTACGTCTACATTAATCCAGATAGATTTTTTTCTTGAGAAAATACTACCTGATATATAGCCAAAATAATCGAATGAATCGAAATCAAATCGGATCGCAAGCTTGTGAATCAAAATCGAATTGAATTGCGAAAATTGTGTCAAGACT